GCTCCCTGGCGGATTCGATTTCGTGTCACCCAGCTTCACAGTCAGAGACGTTACCACTGAGCTATCCGAACTGCGACCAACCTCCTACAGGACTGAGATGTAATCACAACTGATTGATCGCTACCCAGTGGTCAATCAATTGTGAAGCACTTAACCGTTAGACCACTGAGCCGGCATCCATTAGTGTTAATGTCTAATCCACGAAATTAAGCGACATATCCACCCTTGTGTTCAGTGAGTTATCATCTCATAACAGACCCGGTTGAACTCCACTGGTCACTGCTTCATTGGGATATAACAAAAATATATTTATTATTAAATTTCTACCCAATACTCAATTTATTTGAAACTATCAAATCAAACTTTGGCATTGATACCTAAAAAGAAGGATACCATTGCGAAGTAATAAAAAAACACAGAATGAAATCAAAACCTTGTAATAATAAATCTTTTAATAACTCAAATTCCAGATAAAATAAGGCTAGAAAAATGATGAAAGATTTACTGCGTACAGTAATATTTAAAAACTCGAAGATAAACACTTATTTTCTAACTTTTTAGATAGGAAAGGTACATTCTAAATATAAATGACTATTTTAATAAAATCTTTGAACCCATGCAAATATAGTGATATTGCTTTCGTATGAATGGTCGTTTCAAATCAAAATTATTCTTTCATTTTTATTTTTTTTACAAAATACATGTATGTTTATTACTGTAATAGTGTTTATTTTATTAAACACAATAACCCATGTGGGTTGAAGTTAATTCATTTCATTCGATATGCCTTAAATATATGCTCATTTATTTTGAAGGTTTTGTGAGAAATGGGTTATATAAAAAAAGTCATGTTACTAATATAATTATTAAAACGCTTGTATAATTAGACAAGTTTAACTTTGAAAATAGAATTTATGAATTAAGTAATATTTGAAATTTTAGTCGATAAAATAGAAGAACATACAATGTTGATAATAATTATAAATAACTACATACTTATAGCGAACGAAATCAAAAACAATATTTTTAAAGCTCTATGTAATAAGCTCTTAAAAAAATGTAAAAGAAATGAAGTCATATTGCGTCTTGAAAAGCTAATGAAAATTACGTATTCAGTTAATCAATCGAAATTCTAAATATGACTTCTTTTATCCTGCGTCTGTTTTACCGTTTACAGCTTAGCTCATAGTTCGTAAACCCGTCTCTATATCGTATCTTGAGTCAACAGAAAAGTCAGCAGCCGGTCTATATTATTATATTTAAAGCAAATGTAGCTTTATATACAAATATACTGGACTAAATAGTATTGTGAAATAAAATATCACATTTATAAATAAATAAGCCAATAGTGGCTGTAAAAAGGTAATGTATGAGTATTAGATTGGCAATAAATAAGGAATAATAACTCACATAACAACAGTTAATTCGCCAAACGAAAGCTTCTGAAAAACGGTTTATATAGACATAGTAATCCAGTTACATAATAATTATGTACTAAGAATATATATAATAGTAAATCGATAAACGGTCCTAACATTTAAGGTTACGACAGGTTAAATGTTATCCTAAAATGACAATTCATTATTATGAACACATGAAAATCAAAATCAAACGAACGGTCAAAGTATAAAAGTGACTAAAGAATTACTTTGAAGAATGCAGAATGTGTTTCGGTAATGAAGTGTATACACGATATAATGTTTGTAATAAGAACTTAAACATAAACAGGTATCAATGCCAAGGTTTGACGTGATCGATTCAAAGAAATTGAGCATTGAGTAGAAAATTAGTAGTAAATGTTTCTTGTTATATAACAATCAGTAAAACGTTTTAGTCCTGACGTTTCGTGACTAAATGTGAGCCAGTTCCTCAGAGTTAGTAAATAACCGAATTAAATTCTCACAAGTTTAAATAGTACAAAGGAGACAATGCAGAATACTTTTAGTATAATTAAAATCACAATAGATCTGAATATGTCAGTGTCAAGTTATTCTTAGTCAACGTGAATCTTTATGACCTGTCACTGTATTAAATTGTGCTTTATAATGTAGGGATGAAAAATGTACGCATTTGCAATATGTAGTGGTGTTGAAATTTAGTATGTGTCAGTTGTGTTAAAAATAAATAAGATCAAATGTGGTTTTGTATTAATAGCTGTATGGTAAATATACGTTACAGAAAGGAATTATGGTCAAGGAAGGATGAGAGGTTGGATGTTTCGTTTTTAAACGAACAGCTCAGGTTTGAATTGGTGGACCACCAACGCCTCAGCAGTGTATAAGTTTTTGATTCGACTATACAACTAAAAATACGAATATATAGCTTAAGTAAACGATTTTGTCTACAAGAAAGTTTTCTTCGCTGAATTTTCATTATTTCTATTGATTGACGGAATGGGTTATTTTAATTATCAAATGTGGACGTTTGGATAAACAGACCAGATTGGATGAATATTCAGACGTTCTTTATTAATTAGGATGGAGGGATTTAGCATTATGTGAAACGCTTTGGTTACTCACCTCTCTTTATAGTCGTGAAAGCCTTTCTGAATAATTTTGATAAATAGCATGTACTTTTATTGCTAATTTGACTTATAAGTTTTCCAATTATTAGGTCTTTTTGAGTAACTTAAGTGTTCCTTGATCTGAGTTCAAATCTCACGGGAAGACTCTTCAATATAGAATGTATCACAATCGACACAGACTAATTTGCTGACACAATTTTGTGTGGAAGTGAACGAGGTCTTATCTTTTGTTCTAACTAAAGCATTTTTTAGGGTGTTACTTCTCTAATTTTATACGTTTCCAATACCAATATTTCATACTACAAATGCATATATTTTTCGTTCCCACGTTATAAAGCACAATTTAATACAGTGACAGGTCATAAAGATTCACGTTGACCAAGAATAACTTGACACTGACATATTCAGATCTATTGTGATTTTAATTATACTAAAAATATTCTGCATTGTCTCCTTTGTACTATTTAAACTTGTGAGAATTTAATTCGGTTATTTACTAACTCTGAGGAACTGGCTCACATTTAGTCACGAAACGTCAGGACTGAAACGGTTTACTCATTGAGATATAACAAAAAATTTATCTTTTATTGGATATTAACAATTACAGAACAAATTGAAACATCTGAAACTATCGTCAAAAGTTAAGTTAATTAGAAACCTAAAGCGAACTTGGAATATACCTCATTAGTGAATATTATTTATCTACATCTTTGAGGTCTGTAAAATGCTATTTTTTCATTATAAAAAAACTACCTTAAACCTTACCCTACCCAAGTGTATATTCGTTACAATATTGCATCATCGTTTACAGATACTTAGTGTATAAAATCGAATTCTTTTTTAAAGAGAGTTTTCAGAAAAAAATTTATCTGCTCAACATATTTATTTGTTTCTATGATTGATGTTATTTAACCATCAGCATTAAACTATTCAGTTTATATTATTTTAATGAATGCTCTACAGAAAGGTGTTTAGAATTATTTAACTCATTGACTAAATCAATATTCCGTCATTTTATGTCTCTATGAACATATTATAGCAAACAATTTACAAGTTTGTAAATGTAAACCATTTAATGAACTCAATGTATTGATAACTATATAAACTTAATGTTATATAGTTTTTGTTTACTTGAGACAATAAAACATGATTGTCGCATTTCTGTTTATTTCATTTAGTTGAATAGAAAAATTTAACCAACAACTGGCAGTTGTTTTTCTTATTAGAATCATTGATCAGGGAAAAAAGGAAATCGATAAATCGGACTTGGTCGTTACAAAAATAAAATTATTTATGATGAAAACAGGATTTACGAATTGAGACTACCATTCACAGTCAGTTATATGTGAAGTAGAACTTCGGAAATATTTGCATCTGTTCATGCTGCAATACCATATCATGTTAGAAGAGCAAGATACTACGGCAATATCAGTACAAACAGTATAGGAGATATGAGGAAACATCAAGTAAAAAAAATATGATTCTAGTAGAAATTATGTTCTTGGAAAAAATCTACCTTAATTAACTGGTCGTTATTTACGAAAATTCGGAAAGCCATAATCAGATAGTTTATACCTACTTACATTGCTCTATTCAACAATTATTGACTTTATAGGTTGGTGCCACAAGCTGATTCGATCACTCAGAGCTTTCGTGCTTATTACTCTTACTTCAGCTCTCACAGCGACCAATATGTTCGATTGTTGAGTATACGTAAAAAATGTCGCGAGGACTACAGTCGATGAACGTGCAAAATCTCATCACTCAATTTGTCATCTTTACCCAGTCACCTACTTTCACTTTACCAATACTCACTTGAAGATCTTACTATATCTCAGAAAAAGCTTCTAAAGCATCTATCATCAAATAGCTGTGACACAAAAACTTATAAGGATCACATTATACAGCCATAAAACAAAATGGTAGGAACTGGTTAATGAATGAACCTCCAACCTATTCACATTGCTATTTGAATAACATTTATTGAAAGATGACAATTGGAAATAAAGAAATATAATTTGTTAAGAAAAAGAGAGAAGTGATGAAAGATTTACGCAAATGTTTATAGATTAAGAAAATACTCTAAATTCATTTGATGAAATTCAGGAAATGAATGTAACAAAAATTTGTAATTGTACTACACACTAACCAATGGATTTTGAAATGAAGTTGTAATAAATTCGCATTAAATGCATTCAAGTAACATGCGTAAGCTGAGAGGATTTTTACTTTATCTTACAAATTTAGAGACTGTTGTTTTATTTTTGTACAAACAGTATTTCACTAGTGTTTGGATTTTTTTCAAGTATTTATTTTAGTATAGTATAGCATCGACCAGCACAGTATATATACACACAAAGAATTAGTGGACTGTTGAAAAGATTACACAAGATATCTAAAACGAATGTCAAAAAACGAAACAAAGAATATTATTTGAAAGTCAAATATTTTTTTAAAAAAATATGCGCCAACTTACCATATTACTGTGTAAATAACTTAAAGTATTTGCAATCACATAAGTGATATTACTAGCTTCACGTTCAGAAAGAAATTTTTCTCGGAAAATTTTATCCAATAATTCACCACCTTTTAAATATTCCATAACAAGATAAACTAAATTCTCATTTTCATAAACCTAATTAAAAGAAAAAACAATAAACATATGGTTCCAATGTTTTTGAAGGCTAGTGATACAATTAGATTGTTGGAACAAGCAATACAGAAAACGAAATAGAGTATGAACTCGAGTGATTCTAAATAATACTGTTTAATTAATATAACAACGCTTTACCATAAATAAAACTTGAAAATATCAATATTAAGATATATTTCAACTAGCGGAGTTTTCTAAGTAGATATGAATTACCCTTATCCCTTTCTGATGCTAACGTTACTCATTTACCAAGGATAAATTCAGCTTTCTGCCACAATTTAAATGTAAGAGCTAGTGATACTGCCAAAGTTAAGGAGGCGAAGCAAAACGAGAACGTGCGATCTAGTTGTTGAAAGTTAAACTGTTTAGTTTCTAATCTAGCACATCAAATGATCCTTGATTCTAACTGGATATCATCTTTACTTTCTAATTATTTGGTGTGTAGATAGTGAAAATAAATGTGATTGGCCATTGAGTGTGAAATAACAAATACAAATTACTGACCATTTATTTTCCATGGTTTTCTTTTCTATATATTGATTTCTACTCTGAACTCACTGAATGTTGACTGTTATAGTTGTTATAGTTATAGCATTGTATGGTTTATATTCTAGATCTCTACACTTGGTTGTGAATATTGCATCTATCTGACCTATCGTGCAGTCTATAAACAGAGTATCAATCTATCCCACTTAGTAAAAAATTTGGTGGTAATATCATCTCGATCGCCCATTGTATTACCGTATTATAGAAGCAATACAAGAAAAAATAGAAAACATTTTTTTATTCCCTCATTATATCAGTTTTGCTGTACTAGGAAAACAGAAGACAACTTTCAAAAAAACGTGATTCATAAATCTATAGGTATTTGTACAGTTTATATAAATTTAGGAGGTTTAAAAGAGGTAAACATGATTGATTTGAATAAGTAGAAAGTTACAAGTTAAGAATGAAAGGTAGGCATTAATATTATTAAGGAAAAAATACCACTATCGAAATTGAAAAATGAATTAAGAATTAATTGGCTAAGCTTAGACTGTAAACAAATTGTTTTTGTGTACACAAATGAAGCTTGATATCCTTTAGCGAAAACTGCTGTAAACATAAATTCTAAAAACTATGAAATGATAAAAGAGTGAGATAATGAGAATGATTTGTTGCTCACGAGAAAAAGCTTTGAAAATAAACAAGTTAGCCTGAAGTTATCAAATCTGGACAGCTACTAACACACTAACCAAGTATCATATACATCATGCTTAAACGTTTATGTGTTGTATTGTTGATATCCAAAGATGAATTTTAATGCGTTAGCTATCAGATTATAGTCTCAGTAAGTATACTAACGTTAAAATTCTGACACATGCAACTAATGAGTTTTAAATAAAGTGAAAAATTGGTCCCGGATACCACTGTTAACCATGATATAAAAATATAAATCGGAAATACTTGTTAATGCTGAGAATATCGAGGGTTTTGTTCAAAGTGTACATACATCATCAACTTTAAAATTTCAATCTGAGATATCAATAATGACCAAATATAAATTCCTATGAATAATAAATTACTGTTTATGTTTAAAATGATACTTTTATTTATCTTTAAATAAATTTGTATATAACAAAGAATGTCAACTGCAAAATGTCTAATGATGACTGTCAAACGAAAGAATTTCTTCTGAACAAGTTATAAGTGAGATTTAGTTCGTAACTAATATTCTTTAATTCTGTTATACTTCAATATACAATTTCATAACAATAATTATTCTTAAAACTATTATTTATCATCAATTTGTTTATGAGTATATAGTAAATATTTATTACCACATTTCTTGTAGACAATAATACTGTTAATATAATTTTCAAAATAATATTTGCATAGAATGTAAAGGTGTTGATTTAAACAAACTAAGGTCATTTGTATACACTAGTTAGTTCTATTCACACTAATGAATTATCATTTGAATATAGATTTATAATTTATTTCAGATCAATTAAAGAGTGAAAGAATTGGTCAAATTTGCCCAATTAATCTTATTTACCGTCTACTAATAGTAAACATAAAGTATGATTTAAAGTGTTTAGACACACAAATTACCAAAACACTCCATATCAAATTGAAACATAAGAGGTTAAAATCTTGTTTCCTACTTAAAATTAGATCATTGATTGATTTATCGGTTGATTTGTATTAATTATACTTAGTGAATCCATCATTGGTAAGCAATTCAACGTGTAAATTTGTTGACAGCATACGAGACGCATTTATTTGCACTTATTTATAATTATTAAAAATGACTGCTGACAATGTAGTGAATGCTACTTATGCTGTCAGTTGTAAGTAGTATGTAGACACGATCGGAAGTTGTCATGCCTGGAAGCAGAAGATTGAATTAAAGAGAACACAAAGCAAATCGGAGAGCGATTAAAATAAAAACGGAATTAGAGGAATAGTGTAGTAGATAAAGGACAACGCAAAGATGTGCAAATGATGTATTTAATGTATGATTTTCATATTTTACTAAAGCACTCTGTAATTTTGCATTGAATAATAAATTGGTTTTCCCCACTTGTGTTCTCGTTCACCACACTATTACTATGAATATGTCTTACATGTGTTTATAATTATAATTTTAATATAAATTCTGTAATCACTGTTACTTGTTTATATATCTGACGAGAAACGTTGTATAAAGAGGTTGCCTCTTTTTCAAGGAAATTGTAATTGGAAAGCTATTTCTGAATCAGCTGATACTTGAGTAATAAAATTCAGTCATTTGGTCTGATAATAAATTATTCGTAACTGTTGTCGTTTTCCAAACAGGTACATTAATGCTCTTAGTAATGTTCCCATAACTAAACCATTCATCAGGAATTGATCTTAGACAACCATCGAAAATCATGAAACTCCGGATATCTGTTTCGTTTTAGTTTGAGATCACTCCGCAATGCACATTCACAAACCCAACGTGAATTGGAACCAAGGTACTCGAGTATGTTAGTGAGTGCTTGACGTTTAGACCACCAGGTCTGTATCAATTGGTTTATATGTCGAACTTTATTCACTTCGTTGTATTATGCAACCATATCATGACGAAATAGTTGTGTAACAAACAATTTATTTAAACAATTATAAAAATTCATATACAAATTTTCCTTCTAAGTTGGCTTCTATATATATTTCACTGCTAAAACAGGATGTCAAATATTCTGTAATACGCATTAGCCGGTATGTAAGAAACTTGCATCAAGAAACCTTATATTGGTGAATTTAATGAGCACATTAAAATTAAACCTTTTCACATAGTACCGCACATAATGAACTGATTGCATTTAGATTTTATGTCTCTGCATTCTCAGCGCTACTACCAACTTCAAAGAATAAACATTTATTTCTTACATTAAACAGTCACAATGAGTAGTTTATAGTTAAATATTTCTTAAATTTATTTTTTACTGTTATGTGTGTAACTCCGCCTGGAGTCCCTCCGGGGGCTACTGCCGGTCCCAAGCCCGGATAAAGGAGGAGGGTTGGGCATGGGGTTAGGGTCCTCATCCCGTAGAAAACTATCTCGCTAAAAAAACACTAACCAGAAAAAATTATTCAAACCTTTTAAACTCTGCCCTGGGAGTCAGAAGGTCTTCATTTAGAAGAACTATGACGCCTCATGATGAAAGCCGAATTCCTTCGGAAGTTACGAGGCCGATGCCACTTCTGACAACCAGAGCGACCATTTATTTAGGCACATGGAATGTTCGTACAGTGTGGAACACCGGGAGAGCCTTCCAAATTGCTGCAGAAATGAGAATATACAACCTAGAGGTACTTGGGATCAGTGGAACACATTGGACGCAAGTTGGACAATAACGACTAACTTCAGGAGAGCTTCTGTTATACTCCGGCCATGAAGAAGAAAATGCTCCACATACACAAGGAGATGCATTGATGCTGTCCAAACAAGCACAAAATGCGCTTATAGGATGGGAATCTCATGGACCAAGGATCATCAAAGCCTCGTTCAAAACAAAGAAAGAGGGCATTTCAATGAACGTCATCCAATGCTATGCGCCTACCAACAATGAAGACGCTAAAGATCAATTCTACAATAGGCTGCAGTCAATCATCGAGAATTGCCCAACAAAGAACCTGACCATTCTGATGGGAGACTTCAATGCCATGGTTGGAACGGACAACACTGGATATGAAGACACCATGCGACGACAAGGACTGGGAGAAAGGAACGAAAATGGTGAGAGATTTGCAAACCTATGTGCCGTCAATAAACTGGTCATAGGCGGCACCATATTCCTACATAAACGCATTCACAAAACCACATGGACTTCACCGGATCACACCACGCAAAACCAAATCGACCATATTTGCATCAACAAAACGTTCAGGAGGACTATAGATGACGTGAGAATCAAGAGAGGAGCCGATATAGCATCAGATCATCACTTGCTGGTCGCCAAGATAAAATTGAAACTCAAGAAACACTGGACAACGGGGCGCACAATATCACAAAAGTTCAATACGGCCTTTCTTCAGGATACTGACAAACTCAACAAATTCAAGATAGTCCTCAGCAACAAGTTCCAGGCCTTTCATGATCTATTCAATGGAGAAGGAACTACTGTGGAGAGCAACTGGAAGGGGATCAAAGAGGCAATCACTTCAACATGTCATGAGGTCCTGGGTCACAAGAAGCACCATCACAAGGAATGGATCACTGTTGATACACTGGATAAGATTCAAGAAAGAAGGAACAAGAAGGCAGCAATCAATACCAGTCGAACAAGAGCACAAAAAAACCAAGGCACAAGCTGAATACACAGAAGTAAACAAGCAAGTAAATAGGAGTATCAGAACCGACAAACGTAAATATGTGGAAGATTTAACAAAGACGGCGGAAAAGGCTGCAAGAGAAGGATACATGAGACAACTGTATGACATAACAAAGAAACTCTCTGGAAATCGCCGCAGATCTGAACGACCAGTGAAAAGCAATGAAGGCGAGGTAATCACCAACATTGAAGAGGAACAAAACAGGTGGGTAGAGCACTTCAAAGAACTCTTGAATCGACCAGCTCCACTGAACCCACCCAACATCGAAGCAGCACCCACGGACCTCTCAATCAACGTTGGCCCACCAACAATTGAAGAAATCAGAATGGCCATCAGACAAATCAAGAGTGGCAAAGCAGCAGGCCCAGACAACATTCCAGCAGAGTCACCAGACGTAGCGGCAATTGCAAGGATACTCCACATTCTCTTTAATGAGATTTGGGATGAGGAACAGGTACCAAAAGACTGGAAAGAAGGACTCCTGATCAAAATACCGAAGAAAGGCGATCTCAACAAGTGTGATAACTACAGGGGCATCACTCTTCTTTCAATACCGGGAAAAGTCTTCAACAGAGTATTGTTAAACAGGATGAAGGACTGTGTAGACGCCCAACTTCGTGACCAACAGGCAGGATTCAGTAAGGATAGATCGTGTAAAGATCAAATCGCAACTCTACGGATCATTGTGGAACAATCAATTGAATGGAATTCATCACTCTACATCAACTTCATTGACTACGAAAAAGCGTTTGACAGCATGGACAGAACAACACTATGGAAGCTTCTTCGCCACTACGGCGTGCCTCAGAAGATAGTCAATATCATACCGAATTCATATGATGGATTAAACTGCAAAATCGTGCATGGAGGACAGTTGACAAAGTCGTTCGAAGTGATGACCGGTGTCAGGCAAGGTTGCTTACTCTCATCCTTTCTCTTTCTCCTGGTGATCGGCTGGATCATGAAGACGTCAACATCTGAAGGGAAGCACGTGATACAGTAGACATCTAGGATGCAGCTGGACGATCTAGACTTCACAGATGATCTGACTCTTCTATCGCACACAAAACAACAAATGCAGGAGAAGGCAACCAGTGTAGCAGCAGCCTCAGCAGCAATAGGTCTCAATATACACAAAAGGAAGAGCAAGGTTCTACGATACAACCCAGCATGCACCAATCCAATCACAATTGACGGAAAAGATTTGGAAGTTGTGAAAACCTTTACATATCTGGGTAGCATCATTGATGAACATGGTGGATCTGATGCAGATTTGAAGGCGCGGATCGGCAAAGCAAGGACAGCATATTTATAACTGAAGAACATCTGGAACTCAAAACAACTGTCAACCAACACCAAGGTCAGGATTTTCAATACAAATGTCAAGATAGTTCTACTGTATGGGGCGGAAACCTGGTGAACTACGAAAGCCATCGTCCAGAAGATACAGGTGTTTATTAACAGTTGTCTACGCAAAATACTTCAGATCCGTTGGCCGGACACTATTAGCAACAAACTACTGTGGAAGGGAACAAACCAGATCCCAGCAGAGGAATAAATCAGAAAGAAGCGCTGGAAGTGGATAGGACACACATTGAGGAAAGCACCCAACTGCGTCACAAGACAAGCCCTCACATGGAATCCTCAAGGCCAAAGGAGGAGAGGAAGACCAAAGAAATGGAAATATACATAAAAAAGACGAACAAGAATTGGATGGAATTAGAAAAGGAGGCCCAGGACAGAGTTGGTTGGAGAATGCTGGTCGGCGGCCTATGCTCCATTGGGAGTAACAGGCGTAAGTACGTGAGTAAGTTATGTGTGTAGTCGTTTGAGGAAGTAAAGGTTTGTTGAAATATTGACTGCACAATTAGATTATTTTTGTTTTTATCAAACTAATTAGAAAACAATTTCTTCTTCATACTCAATAGAAAGATAAACTTGATCTGTTTCACGTAACCTATAACTTAATTCGTTTATTATATTATCAACTTTTAGAAATAAAAACAGTATATCAACACAGTGGATGGAGTTTGTAGAAATCGTTATGTTTCATCCCTTACACAACGAAATAACTTTAGACAATTATAGGAAACAAGGAAGCATTGGTTAGGTGCTCGCTACGAAATCTGAAAGTCATGAGTTCGATCTCTGCCTAAATCGTGAATATCCAAATCTGGAAAGTACTACGCTTTCTGGTTACTAATGGTTGTCTAACTGAGGTCAATTCGTGATATAAACTATTAAACATTATATATATATATAGTCAATTTATGCTTAAAATTCTCTGAAATACTTTTTATTTATTCAAGCAAATCCCGATTGGTTGATATTTATGTTAGGAAAATCAATTAACCAGCCATTATTAGAATACTTTATATTAATTATAATTGAACTTTCTGAACGTTATCGAAAGTAATCAAGTATACTTTATATTTAATTAATTTTTTGTAGAAAAAAATCTTTAAAAGAAAGATAACACAATGAAATATGTTTTAACTGTCTTTTTTTTCTGGCTTAGTGTGTTCTTACATTAAAATTTAATAAATATTTCTTTGTATAATAGTAAAAGAGACAAATCATACCGATAAGATGTTTATCATTAGATTCAAAAAATATTTTTCTAGCGATCAGCTGAAAGTGAAATAACATTGTGTGTGTTTTCTTTTTATTAATTGATCTGTCAGAATGTTGAAAACACTTACAAGGTGAATATTCTCGTACACTTTTATTAACTTAGTATTGATCAAATGAAATGGAAAAAATTCTGTTTTTATATCAAATTAAAATAGATTTAAAAGATGATGGAAAGAATTTGTAGATAACAAAAAGTATTTTCAATTCATCGCGTTATGTATGATATTAGTTGTTATATCCGAGCGAAGATTAAATCACGAGTAACTTCTGAGACATATTAATTGACTAATATTATCTATACATACTTATGGTATAACTATTCAATAATTCGATTAGGTATGTTTATATTCCTCTTATTATAAGCTTTATTTTTACCCATAATTTAGAATTGTGCGATTTACTGTTCTTAAGTTATGTTCAGTTTATTGACTAGCGCCTCCCACGTTCCCAGCCACTTTTTGGCTTTATTGTGTACAAATGTTAATCCCTATTTTATGGTGCGTTGCGGTCTGTTTGTTTGATATATAAACCCAGTATGTCTGAAATAAATTATTCGATTGGCATATTGGAAGTTGGTATTTGGTGTTCTGGACTCAAGTGGGCGGACTAGGCGGACATAGGACCAATAAGGACGCTAGACTGCCCATACCGGTCGAACGTCATTGGTTTGGCACAGTGCTAAGATTGTATAAGTCGTATTTTGATTGGTGGATAAATCACGTGATAGAAAGTCGGACATTACGATACAAATAAGTTTTGTAGAATTATTACCCTTACTGTTGAATAATGTCTTGGAGATTTTTACGGAGATTAATATTGATTTCTGAATGATTATAAACCGAGGTGCACTGAACATCTGTGTTATCGAAGTATGGAATTCTTTAACAATGAGAAACCACAACCAGCACAGGAAGCGAATTCAAGCATTTCAAGTCTAGTAAAAAATATTTAGCTTTCAGACAACTAATTCGCCATACAATGGTTCAATTTTTTAATATAATATGTTTATTTAATCTTTTAGTAAAACAATATGCAACTTGTCATATGTAGAATTTCTTATAACATTGTCTAATTTTAACTTTTACGCGGAACAATTAAAGATTACTTTTCTTTTTCTTGTCATGTGAGTAAAGTTACAAATTAGACTAAATCCTATAAGAAATGATTAGATCTAATTAGGAGTGAAATATATTTTATTTCTCAAGAAGAAATATCAGTAATACATATATTTAATATGTGATCTCATCAATAATGGGACTTACTACTTTAGTTAAAAATAAAACTGAGCATAAATTATCAAGTGTGGAAAAAATGAGTCGTCAACAATTACAGTGAAACATGTTATTAAAAGGATCTAGAATCTATAAGGATAGTGTATTTGTTCACTTACTGATGATTGAGTAGTAACCAAGTTTGTTCAAAGTTTCGATCTAATGTTATTGATCATGGCTCAATACAGCTACTAGTCTATAGCAGCTGACACTAAATGTACTATTTTAAAGTAAGTTGCTTGGAACTAATCGACATGAAGCACTGTAATTTGGTCTTGCATTTCTCTTGAGACCCATCAGCATAGTATATCTGGACTCTAAGAAGGAATTGTTATTTATTATATCATAGTTTACGTCACCCAGCGTCGCTGTCAGAGGCGTTGACATTAAGCCATTTAGACTGAAGTGAACACGTTTATAAATTATAATGCTGGATGACCTAACTTCTAATACGATAGTGAAAACCATTACCTTAAAGATCCCAATATTCCACACTGACAAGTGTCAACAAACGTAAAACTCAGGTCTCGTGCTTCATGTCAGTTACATCAAAATAACTTACACTAATTCACACTTATTAACCACTATATAGAAGAAAAGGAATGTGATTTGGAATAGCTTACATTTTAGACAACTCCAGCGATACGATAACAGCTAATTGTAAAATGAACAAACGTATACTAAATTAACAGTAAGATTAACTGATAATCAAAATGGTATTGAGGAAAATGATGAATAAATATAACGAACTTACATCTCGAACGGAAACAATATTTGGATGGTTATGGTGTCTAAGCAATATTTCAACTTCTTCACGGGCATCCCGTTTTGATTTATCAATAATCTGAATGTTTAAACAAAGTAACAGTGTGCAAATTACTAAATGGAATTTGAACAATAAGGAGAATATTTATAACATTGACATATCCATATAAACACAATACTCACATTGAGAAGAATACCTTGTAATATTAAATATATATGGAATAAGATAGGAGGTTTCTGAAGCAACGGGAGTACGCGTAATTACAATAAAACGGATCTTCGAAATCTCCTGGTTTTTTATCGAACATCGAGGTAAAGTCAGTTCGCGATATAAACTATTCTCAAATAGAAAATTATTCACAAACCTTTTATGTTATCAACACATATGATTTTACTTTTGAAAAGGATATCAGCTTAGAATTTTAAAACGTATAATCCACCGAGTCAGTTTCCTTATTTATAATAATAATTATATTTATTGTTAATGTTGTATTCTCATAGATAAATTATTTACACGTGAAAAGCTTACACAATGTAAACAGCTGATAATGATATTCAGAACGACAATAAAGACTTTGAAATTCAATTGTTCACCTTAGAGACTACAACACTAACAAAATCCACTCACTTAAGCCATAACTCTTCTCCGCTATCTCATAAATAAAATGTCTTTAATTTTTAACACAATTAAAGTTATACAGGTAAAAGTTTCAAGTACGCCGGCAACTTGAATGATACAATATATACAATGAAGATGTAGTAGACCACTGTTTTGTGTGATCAGTAAATTACACAATCTCACACAAACACATAAGTTTATATGTTGTCGCTAAATTGAAACACTGTACTAATGACCAAAAGTGATTGGGTGTAACCCTAGAACAAACTATAGTTTATTCTAAGAATACATCCTCAATGTCTTGATCGTTACAAATTACAAAACATTACTTTTATTTTTTTACTATTCATCTTTTAACTTATATGATGTATTATGGTAAATTTGACCAATGCATATGTGTATCAGGCAGAATGTTGATGTGTTCTAGAGTTAAAGTGGAACTTTAAAAAAACCAACATTCTAAACCACTGATAACATTCATAAGTTACAAAATATGCCATTTTCACAATTCTACACTATTTATTTGACCTTATGCTTAATAAACCGGCACATATTTTTTGAGCACGAAATTGACAAAATTACAACAACTATAAAAAAGATAACAACTAGAACACTTGCTGTTTCTATCATCATCATTATTCACTTCCTTTTTAATCATTTCCGATATATATATAAGTACAAAACAGCATGATAACGTATTTCGCATATTTATACCCAAACAAAAGTACACATAAAGTATATACTTCCAAATTAATAATTCTAGAAGAATGTACTGCATGATATTTTTTGTATATGAATACATTTTTTTTAAGAATACCATTTACAATACAAGATTAATGAAAAGTTAATTCAACGAAGTGAACTGTTGAAATGGAATAAAGAATAGGTTGGAGAAAAAATTAATATATAGAAAGCGTAAAATTCCTAGGAAACATTTTAACGTTGAAATAAAAATATCATATTTACATAATTAAAACTAAAATCTAAATTTCATCTATTATTTTAAAAATGTATCAGTAATTTTACTTGGATGGATGAAACAAACGATACTTGATCTAAATAAAATTTTCATAGTTGAAGTAATGAGTAGATCTAAGCTAGACCACCATTGAAGACCTGGAAGCACTAGACGGCTGTTTCATTCTAGTATGGGACTCCTCAGTAGTGCGCATCAACCATTCTGATTGAAGTTAGGCATTAACACCGTTGAATGCTGGCTCAGTAGTCTAGAGCTTGAGCGTTCGCAAGCAAGACCGAAGATTCTGGGTTTGAGTACTGCCTGCCGGATTGTGGATGTGCACTGCTGAGGAGTCCCATAATAGAAAGAAACAGCCGTCCAGTGTTTCCAGGTTTTCAATCGTGGTCTGGCTTAGATGGACTCACGAATTCAACTATTAAAATTACTATAACCTTCACAAATCCCCATTCTTATACTAAAATTGTACGGACAAAAATTTGGCTAAACACTTTTCTACAGCTGAGCAAACAAAATCAGAAAAGTGGTGGAGGGAATACAATCAACGTTTCTAAATGAAATACATACAAAGTAAAACTGGCTTTTATTGAAATCAGGAAAATTGAAAACACAAGGCAAGATAATGCGTAAACTGGTTGCAGAAAAACAAGTCCATATCAAATATACCGAATCAATAACTAACAATCTGAGAACATATGTATGAGTCGTTAACATAGAATATAAGAAACAAACAAAGATCTTTGACAGACGGACACAAATAATTTAAACACAAGTAATTTCACCTATGCATATAAGTACTATTGTATAATTAAAGACTAAAGAGAATCTAACTGAAAACAAAATTGTTCGAATTTACAATATGGGAGTTTTTGAAATTATTTAATTTGTTTAGCATTTACACCATTAAATAATGGTAAACAATGTGAAAGAAATGTAATTATACTTAATATCGTATAAATAATCTAACGACACGATACTTTTAGAAAAGATACTGATAGAATTCATACAAAGAATAAGCTGTCAGTAGAAATTGTTCAAAAAGTCATAGTGAATAAGATATTTGTGCTACACACACACACAACATATCTATTTATATTAAGTATACGTTTGATATGTGTCATGCTTACATTTTCCCTACTAACATACATTGAGTAGTTGAATCAGACTAATTTTTTGACAATCAGTAAATCTCTTTCAATGCCTCCTTATTTTAATAGTATGTAAATAAAAATCTGACAGCTAGGCAACTATTGTAAACCTAAAAGCATTGAGTGGTCGCTTCCACTGAACATGAGGCTTCTCATCAGTATTATATAACACTGGATTACATTATAAGGTTAGCATAAATGAATATTTTTGTTATCAATTTGAAGCAGTGGAGTTCATGTCAATCGAAGCACAAATACTGACAAAATTCACAATTGATGAAGTTAAAGTCACTAAATCTAAATTTCTGTATTATTGACAATGGACACAATTATGAAGACAATTTCTCAGTTAGATATCAAGTGCATATCACTTTGGTAAAGTAGTGCAATATTATATCATCTCGGTATAGCAGAAACGATCAGCATCATGCTAATGCAATCTAGCTTAATTATATAAAAGTGATAGACATAACTATTTTATTTACCTTCAACGTTATTAAAAGTCAGATTTTATCAGTGCAATCTAATAGGATTAACCTCTCTTTTCTTATACTGAATGACATTAATGATTATTGTTATTTATATCATTATGATTATTATCATAATAACCGTGACACAATTCCTATTTTCTGATGAACATTTTACATATGAATTCTATGTATCTATCGGTTCAAGGTATAGTATTATTTTTCACTTTTTATTGCGTGACCCTTTTAACTTTAGCAAATACACATTTTATGAGCATTTAAGATAGTGCTATCATCAATATATATATATATATATATATATATATATATATATATATATATATCTGTATTTATACCTATGTACATAAATATTCTTTTCATTGTGAATTATAGTACATAAACTAGCAGAAAATATTAACAAACATGCTATTTCGATTGTGATATTTATATCTGGCATTCATCAAAGTGTACATCTGATAAAAAAATAGTAATCATAAAATTGAAAAAATAGAAGACAAAAGAAAGAAGATACAAGCAAATTCATGACAGTAATGTTTTGAACTTAGTGATGTTGATCATGATGAACTGTGTGGCTTGAGAAATTAGAAACATACATATAAGAAAGACAAGATGTTAAATACACAAGCAATAAAAACATGAAAATATTATAATGAAAAAAAAACTATTATATGATTTAGGAGTTATGCAATTGATTGTATTGAACTCATGTGTTCAAAACATGCTGACTTGGCGACAAGTTCTCGAAATGATCGAGTTATTGCTAGAAAACCTATGAAGAACCAAATGTCAAATGAATAGAGTTCATCGATGAAAATGTTTCCTCAATGATGTCATTTACTGAAACTGTACACTCGTATTCAGAATGAATACACATGTAGTAGTGTATAAAAAATATGAAATTATTCAATCAATAACAAAGACATCATAAACTAAATAAAGGTACCAATTGTCAAAAAAGTTGTGCAACAGTCAAAAATTAATACGAATGGAAGTACAAATGACATGACAAAACAAATGGAAAGTATATTTCATACATAAAAATAAGCATAATTAAAGTGCATCGAAAATTTTAATGACTGTAGGTTATTTGCTAGCATATGATTGTAAGACTTGAATCTCATGGAGTATGTCCGTCATATCAAACTTAAAAACGACTCATAAAAATGAAAGTGAAAATTTTCATTTAAATAAAAACATTATTTGTTTTATTATGATAAGAGAAAGTAATCCAGAATTCGATAAGCTTAAGTAAACAGTTTCGGAAAAAAAAAACAACAAGAAAATAACGATTGAAAGTAGAATACAGAAGTTTGTAAAGGTGGTAGAATTTTCATAATTTCGAATACAAATGGACGACGGTGGATTAACATCGTGAAATGACTGAAGTTAGATATGGACACAATCTGATGCCAACTTAGTGGTCTGAAGGTTAAGTGTTCGCATATGAGACTCAAAGTCTCGGGTTCGATTCCCAGATAGAGGAGCCACGTATTAGAACAAAGCGACCTTTCAATGCTTTTAGGCTATCAATGCTTGTTTAACTAAGATCAATTTACGATTAGAACTATAATAATTATTCAAATATCTACTGCTTGAAATGTAACTTGATGTCCCAAAAAGGTCGACAATTTATGGGAAATAAAAACAAAACTAATTATGTAGTCATCATAAAAGGACACTGGAAGTCCGTATGTAGCAAGAGTTATTCACAATAACTAATTATCGATATAAGTATTATTACTAAGGTTCTAACTGATTGTTACAAAGAAACTGAGCATTAGGTAGTTTGAACTTGTGTTAATTTATTTCAGTTATTGAAATACTCTGTGAACATGTGACTTGAAACCA